TATATTTAGGGTCCTGTGTGATATTGTATGTGCTAAGTCTCCTACATTTGATTTTCCATTTTGTTCTTTAGGTTTGGGAAATTTTCTAATATCATTTCATTGAAAAGATAGTGCATTTCTTTGGTTTGTGTCTTCAACCTTTCATCTATCATGATAGATCTTAAGTTTGGTCTTTTCATGTTAACCCATATTTCTTGGAAGTTCTGCTCATGGTCTCTTAATATCTTTTTCTCCATGATCAACTTTATTTTCAAAATTATATATTTTGTCTTCATTGCCTGAAATTCGGTCTTCTAAATGGTCTAGTCTGTTCATGATGCTTTCAAGTGAATTTTTAATTTGGTTTATTGTTTCCTTCATTTCAAATATTTCTACTTGATTTTTTTTTTAGAATTGCTCTTTATTTTACTTCTTGTATTTTCTCTCTGATATCACTCCTTACATCATCTTTACCTCACAGATCAGTTTAACTGTGTACATTCTAAACTCCTTCTCTGACATTTCTTCCACTGGGGTCTTGATAGACTCTGTTATTGGGGTATCTTGGTTTGTTTGGGGCAATTTGTTCCCTTGCTTTTTCATGTTGTTGGTGTGTCTCCCCATTTAACAGTGTGGATCTGAGGCAGTCGTGTTTTTACCCTGTGGACTTAGAGTGTCCCTGAAGTTTCCCGTGCCTCAGGGTTTATGACAGATAGCTACGGCACCCAATGCAGACAGTATACAGCATTAAACCAAGCAGTCCCTGCTCTGGTATCTGTGATGTTAACTGTCAGAATAAACAGAAGTCGTAGGTTTTCAAAGAGGCAATTCGAAGGCTACGTTCCACCTGTTCTCTGTCTGAAGTTGTAATTCCTTTGTTAATTTGGGAGGTAGTCATTTCTGAGATGTTCTGGTGCCTTCCCCAAGTCTGAATTACTTCATTCCTGTGGTCACTCTGCCTAGGGTGGGGAAGAAAGGTGACCCTGTCTCCCCTGAGATTAGGGAAAGGAGAGAAAGAAAGGTCGTTTAAAAAATAAGTCTCAGTGGCAGAGCAGCAAGGGCGGTTTTCAAAGCATAAAGTGGACCACGTTGGCAGGAGAGGGCTAGGGCTGGGGGAGGGCTCAGCCTTACAGTGACCTGGGGACATCCTGCAGGCCCCACGGAGTCTGTCCTGGGGCCACCAGCCGCGCACAGCCCCACTAGGACCCCTCGGGCTTTGCTGCCCACACCTTGGGATATAGCTCTCGCCACACTGTCCACTCTGTATACTGTGCAATTTGGGTTTGGGTGTGCATTGAGTGACCACCACCACCTCCATGTAACTCCTGGATGTGTTCGTCACCCAAAGGAGACCCCTTCACCGTCACTCCATCCCCCACCGCCCCAGCCCTGGCGGCCACCGACCTGCCTGCCTCTGCAGACTTGCCCGGTTGGACCTTGCCCAGGAGCAGCGGCGCTCAGGGTGTGCTGTCCTGCCCGGCCTGAGCTCCTGGGTGGGCAGCGGGCAGCGGTACTCCTCCTGTCACCGCTGGGCAGATGGGCTGTGTCTGATCCCTGCGGTCACTTGGGCTGTTGGCTGTGTAAATGCTGCTCCTGGGAGCTGCTGAAGCACACGTGGATCTGTTCCCTGCAGCAGGGTTCCCGGGTCAGGTGGTAAGGAGGGCTGAACTGCCCACGGTGTCCGCCGTGCCGCCTCACCTCTCCACGGCAACCACCCAGGGATCCTCTGAACACACTCATGCCCAGGGCAGACAAGGGCAGGCGGCAGGTGCTGAGCCACATGGGAAGGTGCACCCCAGCCTGCTCCACTGCTCAGCACAGAGGGGAAGGAGATTCCAGCTGTGACCACCCGGGAGCCCCAGAGGTGTGAGTCCCAACAGAGGGCCACAGGGAGCTAGCACAGAGCTGCACAGCCCCTTCCAGAGCGTTGGTGGGCAGCACCTGCCCTGCTGCAGCCTCACCCAGGGAGGAAGGGTGCTGGGGTCTTGGCTCTTGGCCTAGATTCACCCCCATACTGGCCACCTGCTTGGTGCACAAGCCCAGAGTGGGGCGAGTCATGCTGGCAGCCTCGCAGGTAGAACAGGCCCTGGTCGTCACAGGGAGGGGCAGTGCCAAGGGTAACTTCAGGGTCCCTGCTGCTGGCCCGGCTTGTCCCAAGTGGCCTGGTTGGCTGTGCGTCCTGCTGGGGAGGACCTCGAGGCCCCAGGTCAGGCCAGCCACTGCATTATTGACAGGTGCCCTGCGGAATCTGCATGCTGAGCTCTGCAGAGGTGAGAAGAGCCCGGGGACAGCACTGTGGTTTCTTCTCTGCTCTCAAATTGAAAACGGTCAGATCACTGTTGAGTGAATTCACTAAAGCTCCTCTGCTCACGGTGTGGCTGGCTCCAGGGGTCCCCCTGTTCTCTGTGCCCAGTGGGAGTCTGCCTGGGCTGGCCAACAGGAAGCCCTGTCCAGGACATTCACAGTGGGGGCCGCCCTGGACACTGCCCACCCAGTCACTTCCTTTCATCTCCATGAAGGGTTGATCGTGAGCAGAGGCTGCATATTCAGGGCCCCCAGGGCCTGCAGGGCAGATCACTGGACTCCAGGACATGCCCTGGTCAGCCCTGACCTCAGGGAGCTCTAGCTCCCCAGGAAGACATAGACCATTGGTAAGATGGGGGTCAGAGAACAGGGCTAGACACATGTGGTAAGCTCACCTCTCAGGGCCGAGGTGGGGCCAGAGACCCCAGAAAACTGAGTCCTGCCTGCCATCCTCCCAGGTCCCTCCACTGCATCATGAGAAGGTGAGATGCACAAAGTCCCACATCTGACTACCCTGAACCCACAGCAGTCACCCGCCACACAGATGAGACACACCTTCAGGAGGCTATTTCCAGGAAGGCCTCGCGGCCCAGCTCCATGGTAGAAGCTTTGACGCTGCCCACCGCCTCCCACATGCCCACAAATCCAGAAGGGGCAGGTGACCCCAGCTAGGCCTGGAAGGACACTCTGACCCAAGCCACAGAGGAGCCTGAGCCTTCTGCCCACACTCCTGTGGATGCCATTGATCCCGGGCCAGGCCAACCTTGCCAGGGGTCAGCGCCCCACAGGAAGGCCACTGGTGCTCTGGGTCCCTGCGGGAATTCTTCCTTCTTACTGGGGGCGAGCTGTGCCCCTGGTGGCCGGCAAGCACCCCGTCCTGCCTCCCAGAAGCAAGCCCAGCCCGCCCTCTAGTGGCAGTCGCGGCGCTCGCCTGCCCGCGCACAGACCAGCAAGCACCACGGGAACCTGCGTGCACATGCACACACAGCACACACAGGCACGCCCTTGTACACACCTTACACACCTGTGGGTGCACGTGCATGTGTCCATTTCTAAAGTGTCACTCCCCCAGTGTCTTCCGAGTGCAGTAGCCAGGTGGGTCTGAGCACAGGCTGTGCCATGGCCGAGGTGCCGTCCTGCCAAGGTGCGTGTGGAGACTGGTCCTCTGGCGTGGCCTTCTTCCTGTCCTCTGATTATCCCTCCTGTGGCCCTCGGCCTGTGTTGTTCTCGAGGCTCTCGGTCTGGCCCCTTCTGCCAGGGCCACACAGAGGGGCCTGCAGTGCCTGTCCAGCCTTGGAAAGAGGCGCTGAGAACCCCATGCAGCTTAGGTTCTCAAATTGTCCTTGGAAGGGGAGAAACTCAGACTCTTAAAGAACTAGAGAAACCGGTGGAAATGAAAGTCTCCAAAGAGGTGCCTGCTGCCCGGACAGACGTCCTCTGTCTCCAGCCACAGGGCTGCCTGCACGATGCTGCCCGTCCAGTGGCAGGGAGGCAAAGATGGGATGGGGCGGGGGCACCCGATACTTGGACTCACTTCTGTAGCCTGCTACCAATGTGGTGCCTCCGCCTCAGCCCATCTCTGCAGCATCCCAGCCGGAAGCCAAGCGCCGGAAGCCAAGCCCGCAGTGCCACAACACCAGGCCCTTCCCGCCTCTGGGAGCACCAACACCACTGGCAAAGGGAGGAAGCAGCGGGAGGGACACTGCCAGGCGTGGGCGGGCGGGTCTCCATGGGGATGGACAGAGAGCACAGCCTTGTGCTTGGAGCCCGAGGCCCCTCAGACAGGGCCCTCTGCCATGAGCAGTGCCACCGTGCCCAAGGCCAGCGAGGCGGTGCCCGGTCACATGAGCCTGCACCAGCCTCCGTGGCAAAGCCCAGCAGAGCTGCTGCCAAGGGCAGCCAGTCCAAGTGGTACAGACTGGACTCTGCACACGCCCACCCTGCATGCAGAGGCTACCCGGGCAGCAGAGGCACCTGGCGCAGCCTGCTGGGACTCCCCAGGCACATCTCAGTGAACCGGGTAGCTGGGCACTGGTCTTGTGCCCACATCCTGCAGGAGCAAGAGTCAGGGTCATGCAGCACTTGGAGGGCAAGTAGAGGGCCCCTTTCTGCCTTGGTCCCCAGAACCCTTGCTGCCCACATGGTGCCAGTGAGAGACGGGCAGGTCCCACAGACAGCTGCCCACCAGGCTGGGCCTCTGCTGTCCTGCAAGAGCCTTGGCCTCTATCAGAAAGGGGTGTGCACAGGCCACCGCTGCTGACGGGGCTCAGCATCCTGCACTCCCACGGGCTGGGAGCGAGCGGCCGAGGCCTGCTGCGTGGGAACGTGCAGGAGCTGCCCGGCTGGCACGTCTTCCCACAGCCACACCTGGGCCCCAGACCTCCCCACCCGTCTTCCTTCCCGCCTGAGTCCTGCCTGCACTTCAGCGAGGCACCCCAACCCGTGGCCGTGGCCCTGGCCTGGGCCTCCCTTTGCCAACTGTTTCATCTGGCACCAAAGGCGACCCATGTCCATTGAGGGGCCCTGAGATGGAGACAGAGCCGACCTCCTCCAGTCACCTGTCACTGCCCCAAGGGAAAGGGACAGTTCCCACAGACAGCTTCAGCCCCAGACTTCTGGAGAGGGCTGTCCTCGGTCCTCTGCACCAGCCCCAGCAGAAAGGGCACCCTGTCCACCAACACCAGGCTGACCTCTCCTCCTCGCACCCTCCCCTCCAGAAAGTGCAGCAGTACACGGTCATCGTGCAGGCCACCGACATGGAAGGCAACCTCAACTACGGGCTCTCAAACACGGCCACGGCCATCATCACGGTGACAGACGTGAACGACAACCCCCCTGAATTCACCACGAGCACAGTGAGTACCGAGGCCACCGCAGCGCCCGCAGGGCTCTGATGACCATTGCTGGCTGACGCGTCTCTCCCTCGCCCTGTGTGGGTGGAGGGGCTGGACAGGTCGTGGATGGAATGGCCCCGACACAGGAAGCTGAGGCTCAGCGGCCCCCAGCTAGGTCCCCTTGGAGGAGAGCGGCCAGAGGCTCCACAGGAAGGGCCCTGGGGAGGAGCGTGGGCTCCAGTTCAGCACAGGCTGCCCTGAGAGTGAGGGACGTGCCCTGAGAGTGGAGGCCATGTGCAGCTGTGTGCAGCGGCCCTGCCTGGCCAAGGCCTGAGTGGGCCTTGATCAGAGCAGGTGCGTCCCTGCATGACAGTGGACAGTGGACACCCCTGTGGCCCATCTGCAGAGAGGGAAACAGTTGAGGGTGGCCATGCTGGTCGGGTCTGCTGGGTGAACCCGTGTGCACCTGTTCAGCTTGGCCTGGGGACCCCCTGCCCAGGCACAGGGACACTGTCCTCCAGGGTTGGCACTGATGCACAGGCTCCACTCCCTCTGGAGTCCCCCAGAGCACCAAGCTACCGCAGAGTCCCCTCTGGTGAGCCCCGCGGCTCAGGCCTGGCAGGACTTGTTGGCCTCCTGTGCCACCCAAAGGTCTACAGGCTTCCGACACCCTTCCCCAGCACCCTCCCCAGGACTCCGCAGGCCTTGTGGGTGGGTGGCACTGCGTCCCCAATCCGTCCTGCGGGCCCTGTGAGCAGTGCTGACGTGAGAGGCACGTGGTCCAACCAGCTGCCTCCAAGAGGCCAAGACCAGGGCTGCAGGGGGCAGGGCCAGCCGGGGCTCCAGGGTTCTGGGGCTCTCCACCCCCACACACGACCCCTCGCTGCGCTGACCTCTCCCTGAGGGCAGAGTGGAGAGGGACAGTGTCCATGGGACACAGCAGCACAGCCAGGAGCGCCCGCCCATCAAGCACCCACCAAGCCCCTGAGGGGTCAGACTGGGGTGGGCCAGGACACGGGGACCCAGGTGACACACAGCCCAGAGGAAGCAGGTGGCTCTGGGCCCCACATACTGTGCCACCAGGGGAGAGAGGAGCAGGGGGCAGAGGGAGGACATCCTTCATGGTGCTGAGGAATGCTGGAAGCCCGGAGCTCCTCCCCCAGCGCCCTCCTGTGTCCTGCTGGGCCAGATGGGGACGCGGCGCCATCTAGGGGACAGGTGTAGCTGGCCCGTGGGGGAGCAGCTAGTCCACCCTCTGACCAGGTGGGGTTGGGCGCCCCCTACAGGCTCCAGGCCTCAGACCGGCACGGGCAGTGAGGGCAGCCAGAGGCCCTGGCGTGCTGACCCACTAAGCCTGGCCTGGGAAGCGCGGGTGCCACTGGCCAGGGAGGCGCCGGCTGGAGGAAAGTCCATCTCTCGGGCTGCAGTTTCTAATTGCTCTCCTCCCACAGTGGGCAGCTGCCCTCCCCGCTCTGGAAGGAGCCCAAGCAGAGTAGAGCCCACCCCCCTGTGAGGACGCAGGGGTGCTCGCTGGCCGGGGTGTCGGCCCCTCCCTGAGCAAGCTCTCCCCACACGAGAGGATCCAGGGCACCATCTAGGCCCGAGCAGGAAGCTCACCTAAGTAACCTCAGCAGGGAGCAGGGGGCACGAACCTGGCATGAACCTGCCCCAGAGCAGTGCCAGGGCCGCCCGCCCCTCAGTGCTGAGGGCCCCTGCTGCCCCAGGGCAGGGGCTCAGGACAGGGCGTGGTCCCAGGGACACACCCTGCACAGCGACAGCCAGTGGGTGTCTAGACCTTGGGGTACAGCCGCTGTGGCTGCTCTCCCCACCCCAGGGACCCTCACTGCCCCCAGGAAGCACTCAGGACCATGTGGCTGCCATGGAAACCAGGTGGAAGGGGCAGGCCAGCTCTGCGCCCCTCCTCAGCAGAGGGCACGAGGCGCGGGGTGCTGAGGGGTTTGGCCCAGCATGCCCACAGGAAGGGGGTGCCTCGCAGGTAGACGGGAGTGCAGGAGCCCTCGGGCTGCGTGAGATGCTGACCCCCAGCATGTTCCCAGGTGCTCTGGAGGAGGCCTTGCTGACCTCGGACGGAGGGCCTGGGAGCTGCAGGGGTGGATGGAGAGCCAGGGGTCCAGGCTGGGCCTCATTAGCTCAGCAGGAGGGCAGCCTGAGGTGGCTGGTTCTGCAGCTTGGATGCCCTTCCCCAGGCCCCTCACCTGCACCTGGGCTAGACTCCACCTTCCCTGAGGCAGGCGAGCCACATGGGAACCCAGGCCAGATCTGCCATCAAGGGTCCTAGTATGGCCCGGGCGTTAGTGATGGGCAGGTGGGAGGAAGGAGCTCTGTGGAGCAAGTGTCCACCTTTCTTCATGCTGGACGTCAAGACAAACCTCAGGCTGTCCCTTGTCGCTCTGCCTGAGATACCCTGAGACTGGGGTGAAATCTTGTGTTTAACCCAAGATGACATGGAGTGTCCCCCCCTCCTAGAATCCCCGCCTCCCTGCCCCCAGGGTCAAGGGTAGAGAGGCCATTCCCTGGGATGCTGGGGAAGGGCTAGGACAAGGGGACAGTGGTCCTCACCCAGATTGACAGAGAGTCCTCACCTTCTGCTACCAGCTCTACCTGCTGTCTGCAGTGTGCCCGTCTGCAAAAGCCAGGCTCAAGGTGTGACAATGTGACAGGCAGGGGCCCTGGGACACTGCCCAGTGGTGGAGAGGGGGGCAGGCTGGCCACACTGGCGCACGCACATCCCAGCTTCTTATCAAGCTTGATGGAGGACAGTCAGGGCTGAGAGACCGCCCTGTTCCACTGTTTGTCTTAATGTTTAGCTGTAGGTGGACGCGACACCTGGGTTTTGTTTATTTATTTTCATGTGGTGCTGAGGATCCAACCCAGGACCTCGGGAGGCCAGCGCTCCGCCTCTGAGCCCCCGCCCAGCCTCCTGTTCTTAACTGTTAATGAAGGTCATTTTCCCTCCTGCTCCAGCAGCCGCTGCCCTGCCCACTGAAGCACATGGCCTGCTCTTGGTCCAGCGGCTGCCCTCCTTCCTAGGGTGCTGCAGGGTCTGCTGGGTGGACACCACCTTCAGACGCCACCCCAGGGGTCTCCTGCTGGCCTGGGTCCTGGGGTGAAGCCCTGGGAACGTGTCCCCAGCCCCCAGCCCCCAGCCCCGGGCAGCCCTTCAGTCCACTCCAGCTGGCCTCCCTCCAGCCAGCACCCCCACCCCATGCGCATTCCTGCAGTCAGGCCGCCTGAGCCCCTCTCCGTCCCTCCTAGCTGTGTGGCTGATCCCTCTGAGCTCAGAAAGTCTGTCCCCTTTTCACACTTGTGTGTAACACACTTCGAGGGGGCCCACGTGAACCGAATGGTCGCTGGGCCCTCAACTTCCACACAGCGCTGGCCTCCTGCTGGGCATCCAGAGGCCTAGAGTCCTGCCCAGATGGGTCCCCGAGGGCAGGTCTGAGCAGTAGCCACAGCCTTTCCTGTCCTCCGCTGTGGGGAACAGGGGCGTGGGGGAGACGCAGGCTCGTCCCTGCTGGTGCCTGAAGTCCCAGGAGATGAGAGCCTGCGTGTGCTGTGGGATGGCACTGAAGGGTCACTTCTGGGCAAGGACAGACCGGGCCAAACGGTTCCGAAGGGGGTGGGAGATCACAGTGGCCCCAGTCCCTCCCAGCAGGATGTGAGGACAGGCGGACTTGAGGACCCTGCAGGCTGGAGGGGTGACCACGGCGTCGGCTCCGGGCTCTGTGACAACACTGAGGTCAGCTTGGGCTGAGGGTTCACTCTGGTGGAGTCCTTGGTGGACTGGCCTGTGGCCGTGGACCTGTGGAGGGGGCACCTGGGGGAGAAAGTCTGCTCCTGCCCGGGGGCCAGGTCCCCGCCCTCCCAAGGGCTCCTGACTTCACTTCCTGCTCGGCCCCCTCCTCGGGCTGGCCCCTCCAGCAGCACCAGGGTCTGGGGCCAGGCCTCCCTCACTGGTCTTCAGGGGACGTGATCAAAACCTCTGGAGTTGCACAGAGACGCCTCGCTCAGAGGCTGGACAGGAGTCACAGGGAGCCGAGGTCTGCCCAGGAGCCTGGAGACCACGCAGCAGGGCTGCCCCCAGGGTCTGCCTGGTGCCGGGAGACGGCTGAGGTTTTTGGGGCCAGACGCACCACGGGCTGGCCTGGCACTGCCCTGGGACTGCTGGACTTGTCCAGGCCAGCTTCCACTAGTGGCCACCTTGGCACCTCAGCCTGAGAGTGAGCCTCACCTCCCAGCTCCTCCATTAAGGGCACAAACCCAGAAGAGAGAAATTCTGACCAGCACGGTTTTCTGAGAGTAAAACGGTGGCGTCTTGAAATTGGAGTGGACCTGTTGCCCCTGATCGGGCTCAGGTGTGCAGTGCAGACCTCAGCCACAAAGGGGTCATTGGAGCCAGTCCCCCTGAGCGCTGGCCCGTCTGAGCGCTGGCCCGTCTGAGCGCTGGCCCGTCTGAGCTGCAGGGCCAGGGGTCAGATCTCCCATCCCCACCCAATTTCGACTCCCTCCCTGACCCTCCCACCAGGCCAGAATCCACTTCTGGGGACAGCTGTGGCCTCATTATGAGCAGGGGTGAGGGACCCAGGCCCAGCCCAGGGAGCAGGCCTGACAGAAGGCAGAGCATAGGCCCCTGTCCTCTGGGAGGGGTGGTCCCCGTGTGGGGACACAGGAAGATTCCTAGGCCCGGGGTCACCTCTCCACAGTCCTGGGATGCTCCAGACCTGGCCCACCAAGCTGCAGGCAGGGGGAGGTGGCCATGGGTCCAGCGAGGACACTGCAGCAGACCCAGCCCCACCCTGGCCCCCACTGGCCAATGCCGGCCTGGGTGGGTTCCAGAGCCTTCTGGGCCTCAGTTTCCTGACTGCTCCTCCTGACGGTGGGTGGGGAGGTGGATGGGCCTCGGGGGCGGCTGCTGGGCAGCACGCCTGGCTCCCATGGCTCGTGACTCCCTCGCAGCCTGCTCTGATGGGAAGACGCTGCCCACTGAGCCCCGGCCCCGGCCCTGCCACCGCGGCCCCAGGACCGCAGGATCCCACCCACAGACAGAGGAGGCAAGAACCCGGCCTGCAAGTTCCTCCTGGGGAAAGAGCCTCAGAGCCCACAGCTCTGAGTTCTGAAGCCAAATCCTGCCTGTCTACTGCGGAGGACTGAACCTCGGGAACTGAAACGTCGTGCCAAGAGCCGGGCATCCTGGGAAGCTTCCAAACGGGAGACAACAAAGGGGGACGGGGTGGCCAGGGCAGTGGGGGAGCGGTCTCCTTGTCCCTGCTCCAGGCAGGAGAGCTGCAGTGGGGCGCAGGCCTCCCGGGACAAGCCCCACTGGGAGACGTGGAGAAGGAAGCTGGGGCAGAGGACTGGCCACGCTGCCCTGCGGCTCTTCCCCGTGGGGCCTGCCTGAGCTGGGACCAGGGCCCTCCAGGGAGGACACACTGCCGGGCAGTGCAGGCTCAGGGCCACTGCAGGACCCCCGAGCCCATGCGAGGCCTGACCACTGCAGCTGGGGCCTGGGTGAGGGCTCCTGGAGATCACGCTGTCCCCTGCAGTCCCCTCAGGCTGAGGCCGGCTCTGGGAGCAAGGGCGCGTTCCCTCAGGGCCGCTAGGTGAGGCCGGAGGGGAGCCACTGGCTGGCCCTGACGTGGTTACCAGCAATGGAGGGGGAAAGCGAGGGGGGGCTTGGCATTGTCACCTGGCAGGGTCCTCCTGTTCTGCGGCCCACAGGAGCCAGAGCAGGGGCCGCATGGGCCCTTCCTGCTCAGACACACTTTGTGGGGAGCCCCTGCTGCACCACTGAGAGCTGTGTGACCATGGGCAGGTTGCCCAACCTCTCTGGGTTTCCTTAACCGAATCAGGCTCTAAGGACACTTCACCAGACAATGAAGGTGGGGCTGCTCCCCGAGCAGGTGCCAATGTGGCACCTCGAAGGCCACTGGGCTTCTTGGACGCCGTGAGGCAGGACACTGAGCAGGTTCTCCCTGGACCTGGCTGTGCCTCACACGCCCCCCCCCACCCCCAGCCCTCTGGCTGCTAAAGGGCCTCCCCTGGGTGGACAGTGGTCTCTGCTTCCAGCCGGGACTGTGCTCCAAGGGCCTCGGAGAAGCTGGGACCCCCTGCACTGGGGACCCCGTGCCCTTGGGTTCTGGCTCCTCCCAGGCGGAGACCCCTTGGGGAGGCCCCGGAGACCTCCTCCCGGACACCAGCCTTTGCTTGCCATGGGCTGAGAGGTTCTCCCTGCACCCAGAAACCTGAACATTTAGGAAGGTGACTGAGAGGGTCCTAAGCAGGTGTCCACCAGGCCCTTCTCTGGGAAGCCACATGACTTAAATAGGCCCCTCCTGCGAACAGCACCAGGTACTGGGAGTCAGACTCGGGCAGGTCCTAAGTCATCTGGCCCCCATGTGGCTACAGAGGAGGCTAGGAAATAATGAAGAGTTCAGAAGGTGCTGGAGAGCCAGGAAGCCTGACCAATGTCCGCAACACTGACCCTGGCAGCTTGAACAAAGAGAGGGCCTCATATACAGAGGCTGAAAGGTCCTGGGAAGCATGACTTCAGGCATGGCTGTATCCAGGCTCCAACAGCATCACTAGGGCCCCTCTTCAGCCACACTTCCTCTGGACTGCTTTGTTCCCAAGCTGCGTGTGGCAGTCCCTACACACAAACCACGCCACCCACCCCAACACCTGCAGGCTCCTATGGTCACAATGTGCAGGACAGAGGCAGAAACACCAGAATTGAGTCCTGAATGGCTGCTTGGGCCAGGTGCCCACTTCTGAGCAGGCACTGAGATGGGGCCACAGGGGTCTAGAACAGGGATCTGCAGCCATTTTCTATGAAGGGCCAGAGGGTGGCCATACCACCTCTGTCCTGGCTACTCGGCTCGACCCACGGCAGGAAAGGAGACAGACGAAAGTACTAGACAGGATCTGTACCAACAAACCTATTCCCCAAGCGGCACGGGTGCGTCTGGCCCTCTGGCTTGTCCCCCTGGCTGACCACAGCCCCTGGGAAGCTCAGGCCGACAGGCCAGGACCCAGGACCGAGGTAGGTGGTCGTGGCTTTGCTCCTGCAGGACCCCTGAGGTCCCAGGCCCTAGGGAGCTGGAGGGCCGAGGCTGGGCTCTCTGTGTCCTGTGCTCAAACTGCACAGTGCCAGGCCACGGCGTGCATTCAAAGGCCCGGGCAGAACAAACGCAGCCTCTGCTTCAAACGTCAGTACCCATCTCAGCTCGAGGCCAGTGGCAGACACGCTCTCACACTCACGGGCACACTCACAGGCCCACACGCCACACTGTCTCCCTTGCTCAGGGGGCCTGGCAGGAGGGGCTGCAGCCCTCCCTGATGTGATAGGAGGAGGGGCCGTGGCCCCACGTTTGGTCACCTGCCTGTCCACAATGGACAACCCCAAGCCCAAACCCATGGCAGGACATAGGGGAGGAGCCCAGAGATGATTCTGATTCCAGAAGCCTCTCACACCTGCCCCCCATCACCGCCTTCTCCCACCTGTGAGCACAACACGCTGTCCCATGCCCTCCCACTGTGTCTGCGCTGGTCTCTGCACCCACAGGAAAGGCTGGGCAGGGCCTGAGGCGGGGCCTGGCCCCTGTGCGGGCGGGGCTTGCTGGGTCTGCATCTGTGCTCAGGAGGCGGGGCCTGGCCCCTGTGCGGGCGGGGCTTGCTGGGTCTGCATCTGTGCTCAGGAGGCGGGGCCTGGCCCCTGTGCGGGCGGGGCTTGCTGCGTCTCCATCTGTGCTCAGGAGGCGGGGCCTGGCCCCTGTGCGGGCGGGGCTTGCTGGGTCTGCATCTGTGCTCAGGAGGCGGGGCCTGGCCCCTGTGCAGGCGGGGCTTGCTGCGTCTCCATCTGTGCTCAGGAGGCGGGGCCTGGCCCCTGTGCGGGCGGGGCTTGCTGCGTCTCCATCTGTGCTCAGGAGGCGGGACCTGGCCCCTGTGCGGGCGGGGCTTGCTGGGTCTGCATCTGTGCTCAGGAGGCAGGGCCTGGCCCCTGTGCGGGCGGGGCTTGCTGGGTCTGCATCTGTGCTCAGGAGGCAGGGCCTGGCCCCTGTGCGGGCGGGATTTGCTGGGTCTGCATCTGTGCTCAGGAGGCGGGGCCTGGCCCCTGTGCGGGCGGGGCTTGCTGGGTCTGCATCTGTGCTCAGGAGGCGGGGCCTGGCCCCTGTGTGGGCGGGGCTTGCTGGGTCTGCATCTGTGCTCAGGAGGCGGGGCCTGGCCCCTGTGCGGGCGGGGCTTGCTGCGTCTCCATCTGTGCTCAGGAGGCAGGGCCTGGCCCCTGTGCGGGCGGGGCTTGCTGCGTCTCCATCTGTGCTCAGGAGGCGGGGCCTGGCCCCTGTGCGGGCGGGGCTTGCTGGGTCTCCATCTGTGCTCAGGAGGCGGGACCTGGCCCCTGTGTGGGCGGGATTTGCTGGGTCTGCATCTGTGCTCAGGAGGCGGGGCCTGGCCCCTGTGTGGGCGGGGCTTGCTGAGTCTCCATCTGTGCTCAGGAGACAGGGCCTGGCCCCTGTGTGGGCGGGGCTTGCTGGGTCTGCATCTGTGCTCAGGAGGCGGGGCCTGGCCCCTGTGTGGGCGGGGCTTGCTGCGTCTCCATCTGTGCACCAGGAGCCAAGGCACCGCAAGCCCGCTGGAGCCCTGCAACCCTCCCTCCATGCCCCACGTACCTCCCACCCCCCCACCCCCACCCCCACCCCCGTCTCCCTGGCCTGAAGCGGTCGCCCGGCACCTCCCAGGTGTGACAGGAGTCCCAGGCCTCCAGGCCCCACACTGGGTTGTGACCTTCTCTTTCCTGACCTTTTACAGTTTGCAGGGGAGGTCCCTGAAAACCGGGTGGAGACGGTGGTGGCCAACCTCACCGTGATGGACCGGGACCAGCCCCACTCGGCAAACTGGAACGCCGTCTACCGCATCATCAGCGGGGACCCGTCGGGGCACTTCAGCGTCCGCACAGACCCTGTCACCAACGAGGGCATGGTCACTGTGGTGAAGGTAGGTGACTGCCCCCACACATACCCCAGGACCAGTCACACAGAAATGAACTGGGCTCCGCGTGCCACCTCCCCAGTCACCCAGGGCTGGCCCGCACCCCAGCCACCAGGGCACAACCAGCCTGCACCAGGACCCGACCTCCAGGGCTCTGCACACCCCCACAGGCCACCCTGCATCCCCTCCCCAGTGGCCACATTCCCCTGACCTCACAGAAGGCAGATCTGCCTGAAAGACTTCCCAAGAAAGCTGCCCGCACCCAACACGGGCGGCAGGGCACACTAGTGAGCCGGACTTCCTGAGGCCTGGAGTTTGAGTGGGTGAGTGTGAATGAGAGGGTGTGTGTGTGTGTGAATGTATGTTTGTGGGTGTGTATGTGACTGTGTGTGTGTGTGTGTGAGTGTGAAAGAGTGAGTGTGAGTGTGAGTGTGTGTGTGTATGTGTGTGTTTGGCACCAGGGACTGAACCCAGGGTGCTTAACCACTGAGCCACATCCCTGGCCCCTTTTATTGTTGAGACAGGACCTCACTTAAGTGGGTTGCTGAAGCTGGCTTTGACTCGCAGTCCTCCTGCCCCAGCCCCTCCAGCCGCTGGGATCACAGATGTGGGCCACGCGCGCAGCTTCCTGTGCTTTCTACGCGATGGAGCCCTCCACTCTTCCTTTCCCCGCTGCCGTCCCTGGGTTTGGGGTCCAGGTCATAGAGTAGCCAAAAGGACATGTGGTGGCTGTTCCTCTGAGGCAGGCATGAGATGTCACCCTCTGTCCCAGGGACGTCTGTGGGCCCTGCTGTCACACGGTGGCCCTAGGTCTGTGGCGGCGATGACTGTGGGCCACACTGTCTCAGGGTGGCCTGGTCTGGTTTGTGTCCATTGGTGTGCGTCTGCGTCCCACGTGGGTGACCTGTGGATGCGGGTCCAGCTCCGTCGGTGGAGGCTCTTCAGCTCTGCTCCCGAGGGCGCTGTCTGCCTCCTCCAGGTTTCTAAGTGGCCCTCAGCCTGCCACTGCAGGAGCAGGGACCCGCCTGGCCGCGTCCTGCCTGCTCTCATGGCGCCCGGCACCTGGGAGACGGTGGTGGTCACCCAGCACAGACAGCTGAGCAGCTGTTAACCCCGAGCAAGTGCACAGAGGAAGAGGAAAAGAACGGAGAGTCAGGTGTTCACAGAGCAAGGACAGGTGGCACTAGGGCGAGTCCAAGGCCAGGTGGGCCAGGTAAGAGAGGGAAAGCAAGTCTAACTGAGGCTGAATCGCTCAGAGACTGCGTTTGGCCGACAGTCGCAGAGCCTTCACCACAGAACTGTCAAGCCTTGAGGGCTTCATTCTCTCAAACGAGAGGAGCCCTGTGACATGTCAGTCAACAGAAACCCGGATCCTCTCTCTGGCTCTGTTGTGCAAAGCTTTCGCCCTGTGGGGTGCCTCGTGGTCCAAAACAACTGCAAGAGCTCCAGCCAGTATAAGAATGTTACAGATAACAGGAAAGGGAAAAAAAAAGGCTCTTCTCCACTAAGGAGCTGTCTGGACCCTTAATAAAGGCTCCACATGAAAGGACGTCCCTTTATTCTGGACCTCTGGAAACACTTGTTCATATCCTGTTAGGCAGAATGCAGACACGTGGTCCTTCCTAGCCAGAAGAGATACTGAATCAGACAGCTTGTCAGCTGGACACATTTCCCAAACCTCTGCTACGAAGGACGAGGAACGGGTGGTAGGAGGCCACCAGCCACCTCGGCCTCGGCCTGCAGGGTGAGAACAGGGTTCTCCAGACTCTTTCTCTCATGTCACGGCACCCGACATGAGGTTTCCCTTTGTTTAAGATTCACATCCCAGGCAGCCGCTGAGCCCTGGTTCTGCTGAAAACCCCCATCATCCCTGTTTCCATCTCCGCTCGAAATCCCTCAGACAGACGCCCAAGGGCAGCAGTGATGGAGCCAGGGGGCCCGGCACCCGGCCCTTTGAGCTTGGACACTCCAGTCCCGTAGCTGAGATGCATGGGTCTGCTGTACCCCGAACATTGTTAACACTCATGAAAATCAAGTGCCAGGCAACTGCGGGAGCCCCAGGGACAGGCCGGGCCCCCCTGGGTCAGCCTGGGCACTGGCCATCGGCCAGCAGCCAGGCTCAGGGCAAGCCTGGGCCCTGCCGGTGGCCCCACGAGCAGCACAGAGCCAGCCCTCTGCCCAGAGCCCGCGGCGTCTCCTTGCTGGTGTCCCGTGCCTGTAAGCAGGAGGTCGTGTGCCCCCCACGCCTGCAACTCCTGGACCCCCGGGCTCCCTGTCCGGCCAGGACACGTCGCCCTCTCCACACCTAGCCTGCCCGCCACACGTGCTCCCACCTCTGCCCCCATGGTCCAGGCTGACCTCCCACCCCGGGCTGTCCTGAGCTGCCCCCTGGCAGACTGGTCATCCGACCTGATCCCCACGGGGCACTTGGTGCTAACGTCTCGGGAATCCCGTGTAATCCAGAACATTCCACCCCTTTGGCCTGTGGAGACGCCCCCAGGCTAGCTGGCCACGGAGGGTCCCTCTTCAGGGTCCACCTGACAGCTTCCCTATGCGTCTGATTGTCCACTGCGCCAGGCTTCCTGCAAGGGAGTGCGCAAACCTGAAGGCCCTTCGTGGGGCAGCTGTGGCGGGGGCGCAGCAGGCGTCAGGGATGCCACGGCGTCCAGCTGACCCCCTCGCGGTCATCTAGGCCTGAGCAGTGGGCTCTGAGGTGGGCTGACCCCCTCAGGGCGGCCTCTGCAGCGTGAGGCTTCACCCCTCTGCCCAGCAGCCGGCCAGGTCACCACCAGTGAGTCTCTGTCCACACCCGCACGGGGTGCTTTCCAGGTTGTGTCCTCATCCAGACATTCCCAGGGGCTCTCCCTCTCCACAAAGGCCCTGTGGCCACTCAGGCCCAAGGACACCTGCGTGGTCATGGGTGGCTCAGGGGACTCTACAGGTGTGACGGTGGACCTGAGAGGGCAGGGGCCCAGTGCAATCGGGCTCCTACAAGAGGGAGGGTCAGTGTGAGGGCCGTGGGCACGAGGCTGGCTCTGAGGACACAGGAAAGGCCAGGCATGGGCAGCCCCCAGAATGGACTGCACCCTGGAGCCTCTGGAAGGGGCTGGTCACCCAGTCCCTGGATTTAGCCCAGAGAGACTCTGCCCGGGGCTGGCGGAGAGCCGAGGCCTGCTGCTCAGGGCCACCAGCAGGACCAGCAGGAGCGCGGTGCCCTTGAGCCCAGAGGGAAGGAGACAAAGCCCCCTCCCTCACCTGGCTCACTGCCCCTCACCCTCCCAGAGACCCCCGCTCCCCGCAGCTGCCCTGAGGGTCCCCAGATCCTGGGCTCCCTCACAGCTGCAAAGCCGGTCTGCTGAAGGTGGCCGTCACTGGGCCCAGAGCCAGGACCTGGGGATCTGGAGGCCGCTGCTTAGCACCACAGCAGTGGAGGGCACCCGGGGTGTGGGTGGCTTCCTACTGTCACCAGGAGGCACGGACTCCACAGAACTGTCCCCCAGACTCAGCCCTGAGGGAAGAACTGCCGGGGCAGTGCCGTCCTCACCCCCAAGGAGCTGGACAGTCCACCGCCTCAGCCTCTCAGGGGCAGCGCAGGAAGGAGCTGCTGTCCCCTCACTTGCTGACCGAGGGCTCTCACTGCCTGCCTCGTTCCTCCTACGTCAAATCCTGGTTCCCGTCCCTGGTGTGATGTGGTACACAGAATGTTAAAAATATCACATCCCAAGTCACCATGCACAGCAAGAGGACCTGGCAACCGAGTCACTGGACAGCAAGAGGACCTGGCGACCAAGTCACCATGCACAGCAAGAGGACCTGGCGACCGAGTCACCATGGACAGCAAGAGGACCTGGTGACCTAGTCACCATGCACAGCAAGAGGACCTGGCGACCTAGTCACCATGCACAGCAAGAGGACCTGGCGACCTAGTCACCATGGACAGCAAGAGGACCTGGTGACCTAGTCACTGGACAGCAAGAGGACCTGGCGACCTAGTCACCATGCACAGCAAGAGGACCTGGCGACCAAGTCACCATGCACAGCAAGAGGACCTGGCGACCTAGTCACCATGCACAGCAAGAGGACCTGGCGACCTAGTCACCATGGACAGCAAGAGGACCTGGCGACCTAGTCACCATGCACAGCAAGAGGACCTGGCGACCTAGTCACTGGACAGCAAGAGGACCTGGCGACCAAGTCACCATGGACAGCAAGAGGACCTGGCGACCAAGTCACCATGCACAGCAAGAGGACCTGGCGACCTAGTCACTGGACAGCAAGAGGACCTGGCGACCAAGTCACCATGCACAGCAAGAGGACCTGGCGACCGAGTCACCATGCACAGCAAGAGGACCTGGCGACCTAGTCACCATGGACAGCAAGAGGACCTGGTGACCTAGTCACCATGCACAGCAAGAGGACCTGGCGACCTAGTCACTGGACAGCAAGAGGACCTGGCGACCGAGTCACCATGCACAGCAAGAGGACCTGGCGACCTAGTCACTGGACAGCAAGAGGACCTGGCGACCAAGTCACCATGCACAGCAAGAGGACCTGGCGACCGAGTCACCATGCACAGCAAGAGGACCTGGCGACCAAGTCACCATGCACAGCAAGAGGACCTGGCGACCGAGTCACTGGACAGCAAGAGGACCTGGCAACCAAGTCACCATGCACAGCAAGAGGACCTGGCGACCGAGTCACCATGCACAGCAAGAGGACCTGGCGACCTAGTCACCATGCACAGCAAGAGGACCTGGCGACCGAGTCACCATGCACAGCAAGAGGACCTGGCGACCGAGTCACTGGACAGCAAGAGGACCTGGCAACCAAGTCACCATGCACAGCAAGAGGACCTGGCGACCAAGTCACCATGCACAGCAAGAGGACCTGGCGACCAAGTCACCATGCACAGCAAGAGGACCTGGCGACCTAGTCACTGGACAGCAAGAGGACCTGGTGACCTAGTCACCATGCACAGCAAGAGGACCTGGCGACCTAGTCACCATGCACAGCAAGAGGACCTGGCGACCAAGTCACCATGGACAGCAAGAGGACCTGGCGACCTAGTCACTGGACAGCAAGAGGACCTGGTGACCTAGTCACCATGCACAGCAAGAGGACCTGGCGACCTAGTCACTGGACAGCAAGAGGACCTGGCGACCAAGTCACCATGCACAGCAAGAGGACCTGGCGACCAAGTCACCATGGACAGCAAGAGGACCTGGCGACCTAGTCACTGGACAGCAAGAGGACCTGGTGACCTAGTCACCATGCACAGCAAGAGGACCTGGCGACCTAGTCACTGGACAGCAAGAGGACCTGGCGACCAAGTCACCATGCACAGCAAGAGGACCTGGCGACCAAGTCACCATGCACAGCAAGAGGACCTGGCGACCTAGTCACTGGACAGCAAGAGGACCTGGCGACCAAGTCACCATGGACAGCAAGAGGACCTGGCGACCTAGTCACTGGACAGCAAGAGGACCTGGTGACCTAGTCACCATGGACAGCAAGAGGACCTGGCGACCTAGTCACTGGACAGCAAGAGGACCTGGCGACCAAGTCACCATGGACAGCAAGAGGACCTGGCGACCTAGTCACTGGACAGCAAGAGGACCTGGCGACCAAGTCACCATGCACAGCAAGAGGACCTGGCGACCTAGTCACTGGACAGCAAGAGGACCTGGCGACCAAGTCACCATGGACAGCAAGAGGACCTGGCGACCTAGTCACTGGACAGCAAGAGGACCTGGTGACCTAGTCACCATGGACAGCAAGAGGACCTGGCGACCAAGTCACTGGACAGCAAGAGGACCTGGCGACCAAGTCACCATGCACAGCAAGAGGACCTGGCAACCAAGTCACCATGCACAGCAAGAGGACCTGGCGACCTAGTCACCATGGACAGCAAGAGGACCTGGTGACCTAGTCACCATGCACAGCAAGAGGACCTGGCGACCGAGTCACTGGACAGCAAGAGGACCTGGTGACCTAGTCACCATGCACAGCAAGAGGACCTGGCGACCTAGTCACTGGACAGCAAGAGGACCTGGTGACCGAGTCACCATGCACAGCAAGAGGACCTGGCGACCTAGTCACCATGGACAGCAAGAGGACCTGGCAACCAAGTCACCATGCACAGCAAGAGGACCTGGCGACCTAGTCACCATGGACAGCAAGAGGACCTGGCAACCAAGTCACCATGCACAGCAAGAGGACCTGGCGACCTAGTCACCATGGACAGCAAGAGGACCTGGCAACCAAGTCAGCATGCACAGCAAGAGGACCTGGCGACCTAGTCACCATGGACAGCAAGAGGACCTGGCGACCGAGTCACCATGGACAGCAAGAGGACCTGGCGACCTAGTCACCATGGACAGCAAGAGGACCTGGCGACCTAGTCACCATGCACAGCAAGAGGACCTGGCGACCGAGTCACCATGCACAGCAAGAGGACCTGGCGACCGAGTCACCATGCACAGCAAGAGGACCTGGCGACCGAGTCACCATGCACAGCAAGAGGACCTGGCGACCGAGTCACCATGCACAGCAAGAGGACCTGGCGACCGAGTCACCATGCACAGCAAGAGGACCTGGCGACCGAGTCACCATGCACAGCAAGAGGACCTGGCGACCTAGTCACCATGGACACCAAGAGGACCTGGCGACCTAGTCACCATGGACAGCAAGAGGACCTGGCGACCTAGTCACTGGACAGCAAGAGGACCTGGCGACCTAGTCACCATGGACAGCAAGAGGACCTGGCGACCTAGTCACCATGGACAGCAAGAGGACCTGGCGACCGAGTCACCATGGACAGCAAGAGGACCTGGCGACCTAGTCACCATGCACAGCAAGAGGACCTGGCGACCGAGTCACCATGGACAGCAAGAGGACCTGGCGACCGAGTCACCATGGACAGCAAGAGGACCTGGCGACCGAGTCACCATGGACAGCAAGAGGACCTGGCGACCGAGTCACCATGGACAGCAAGAGGACCTGGCGACCGAGTCACCATGCACAGCAAGAGGACCTGGCGACCGAGTCACCATGCACAGCAAGAGGACCTGGCGACCGAGTCACCATGGACAGCAAGAGGACCTGGCGACCGAGTCACCATGCACAGCACAAGGGCCACACGAGTTTGGGATGTCTCTGCAGCTATTTTTGGCCGCAGAGCAAGTCCCGTGGGGACACTGGTCTCCCAACACTGGGCAGCTGACTCACAGTGGACTTGCCCATTTAGGAGCTGGCTCTTCGTCTAAGCCCTGAGAAGGTGACGCCCCTGCTCCAAGGCCAGGCTGTGCCACCGGCAGGGGCCGTCCACCGAGCACAGCCACTGTCCCACGGGCTTTGCTGCACCCGGCCAAGGGTCTCACTGCGACCGACACATGGGAAAGTCGTCTTCCTGCCCCTCCACCAGAGCCCCACACTGTGCCAGCTGCCTCTCTCCCACAGGTGGACCTGGCAGCTGCCCACCTCGGGGAGTGGGGACTGGAGTCCACTCGCAGCTCATTCTGGAGAAGAGAGGTTTATCCTGGTCGGGGTTCTGGAGGTGCCATTGATGTCACATCTGGTGACAACCTTCTTGCTGGCAGTCCCAGGGGGTGCAGGGGAAGACAGGCAGCGGGTCTCAGTCCTGGAGATGGTACCCAGCCCTAGTCACCTGGACAGGCAGTGGGTCTCAGTCCTGGTGATGGTACCCAGCCCTAATCACCTGGACAGACCCCGCTGAACGCCACAGGTGGGTGAGGCTGGGTGCCTCACTATGGGGATGGGACTGTGACCCAAGTCCCAGGTGGGTGGACGGCGCCCCGGCCACGGCAGAGATGGTGTTTGTCCGTCCCTTGCTCAGGCCGTGGGCTGCCTCCCCCTGAGGCCGACGCACGTCCTCCCTTGGTGTGGGCTGCAGTTCCCGGCGAGCCTGCCGGAGCTCAGACCCCAGCAGCTCTCGGTCAGGACCCCACGGCCTCCCTGTGACCTCCGCCCCCCCGAGGTGAGGGAGGGTGAGCAGAGCCCCTCGATGACACCTGGAGCAGGCTACAGAGGCCTGCCTCCCGTCGGCGCCCGGCCACCAGAGTCCTGGGAACCGCTCTCGCACCAGGGCCCTGCTGTGCTGCGTCCCCACACCCACACGGCGGGGCTTAGCCGACAGAGAGGTGGCTGTGGCTCAGTGGTCATCCGAGGCCCCACGTTCAGTCCCCAGGAAAAAACCAGCAGCTGTGTTCCCTGCGAGCCCTGGGACAGGGGCCCGAAGTCCAGTGTGAGCAGGGACATGTCCCGAGAAGGCTCCGGGGAGCGTCACTGCCCGCCTCTCTCAGTCTGCCAGCCCCTGGGGTCCCTGGGGCCCACCTGCTCGTCCGGCCTGCTCACGGCCTCCTTCCATGCCCACGGGCCCCAATTCCCCTGCCTTTCTCCCACAGACGGTCTCCCCACGAGACTTTAACTGAATCACATCTGCAAAGACCTTGTTCCAAACAAGGGCCATCACGAGTTCAGGGGACATGCCACTCGGGGGCACCCACACCAGGGAACTCCATGCTAGGCTTGAGGGATCAGGGTAGGCGCGGGCCTTCCCAGAACCAGGTGACAACCTGGGAGGGGTCTTCTGCCAGGTCCCCAGACCCAGCTTCAGCCTCAGCATGGCAAGGGGTGGGCTGGGGGTCCTTTCCCTGGCCCCTCGGTCCTCCCCTTGCCCAGCCCCACAAGGGGCCTAGGAGACAGGCCCAGGAGCAGCCCTGGGGAGGGGACGGGGGCAGGGAAGGGCGGTGCGTGGAGCGCCAGCTCACCCCCCTCCTTGCAGGCCGCAGACTACGAGCTGAACAGGGCCTTCATGCTGACGGTGATGGTGTCCAACCAGGCGGCCCTGGCCAGCGGGATCCAGATGTCCTTCCAGTCCACGGCAGGGGTGACCATCTCGGTCACTGACATCAACGAGGCGCCCTACTTCCCCTCCAACCACAAGCTCATCCGCCTGGAGGAGGGCGTGCCGGCAGGCACTGCGCTCACCACCTTCTCCGCAATGGACCCTGACCGCTTCATGCAGCAAGCCGTGAGGTGGGTCTGCAGCAGCCGCTCCCTCCCTCGGGCTCCCTGTTTTCTACCCTAAGTCCCCAAACCCAGGAAGCGGGGGCTCGGGGAGCCCTGACCACACGGGGCCACAGCAGTCCTGGGACACCCTGACGCCCACAGGCACAGAGCACCAGGCTCCTCCAGCAGGACACTGCGGGTCTCCAGCCCAGGCAGGGGAGGTCTGGACGGTCGGGCCCAATCCTGGCTTCATCCCCAGTAGCCGTGTGACTGGGCGCCACTTACTCTGTCCCTCGGTGTCCCCACCTGGGGAGGAAGAGAGGGCCTGCTCCCTGAGGGGCCGGGACGCCCACCGTAGCAGGAGCACTGTGCCTGAGCTGCCCCCATCCACCTGCTGCGGGTGGCCAGGCGCTCACAGCCCCCAGGCAACCCCAGGGGACACACGGGACGCAGGCTGGTGCAGGGCCCACCCCTGGGAGCCCCGACAGCCCCCCTCAGCTCCCCACGCCCCCTGCAGGTACTCCAAGCTCTCGGACCCCGCCAACTGGCTGCACATTAACGCCTCCAACGGTCAGATCACCACGGCTGCCGTCCTGGACCGCGAGTCCCTCTACATCAGAAACAACGTCTATGAGGCCACCTTCCTGGCTGCCGACAACGGTGAGCCCCACCAGGAGGCCATGCTGCGGGAGGGAGGACGCTGGCCAGGGGCCCGGGGCCAGGGGGCTGGGACGAGGAAGGCAGCAGGAGGCCCGTCTGCGGCCTCGCCCCCATCAGGCCCCCAGGCCCTGCCCCATCTTTCCACCTGCTGTTGCCTCCCGCGTCCCTCCCGCAGGCTGGCCCTTGGTCACTCCGGGCACCGGGAGTCAGGATCAAGGAGTCGGCTGCGTGGCCGGCCCCGCCCGTCCCTGCCAAGCCCCCCACCCCCACCCCGCGAGCCATTGCTCAGCCTCCCACCTTGAACCTTCCAAAGTTCAGCCAGAAGTGAGCCCAGGAAGGAGGGCGGCCAGGACCCCAGACTGGCCATGGAGCAGAGGACCCCAAGGTCTGGACAGGAGGGGCACCTGGAGCCGGGGTTTCCGAGGGCCACGGCCAGGCCTCCGGAGTGCTGGGCTTGCAGCCAGAGGCCGCCCAGGCCCCACAGCACCTCCACAGCCAGCTGGGTGCTCCTGGGGCCAGTCCCTGCAGAGACGGAAGGGGTAGGAGTGGACGTCCTGTCCAGGACAGCTGCTCCCGATGGGAAGAGAACTGGACTCTCTGTGCCTCGGTTTCCCCTCTGTGAAATGGGGGAGCTACCAACTCCGAAAGTCAGATAAGTAGTCACCCACTGCACGGGACAGGCAGGCCAGCGAGCGACGGCCAGCTCTTCTCTTCCTGCTGCCGCTCTCCTGGTCCCTGACCCCCCGGGGGCCGCTGCTCAGCAGTGGGCAAACCAGACCAGAGCCCCTGGCAGAGCAGCGTCCTGAGAGTCAGCCGGCCAGGGCCAGGTGCCGCACAGGACCACAGCGCCCTCAGCCCAGGCGGGTGTGATCAGCCAGCCTCGCTCTGTGACCAGCCTCCTGTCCTCACCGCGCCCAGCACGGGGGTCCTCCAGCCCCCGCCACACATTCCAACAAACCAGCCGTGGGCAGGGCGGGGCGGGCACCCCTGCCTTCTGAGACTCCAGGGGGACCCCCCCCCTCGGAAGGGCACTCACCTGCCAGGTCCAGCTGAGGGATGCTGGGGAAGAGAGCCTTCTCCATGGATAGTGACAGCCCAGGTGACACTGGGGCTCCAATTCGTTCATTAAAAGAAAGCAAAATGGAAGTTGGGGCTACCCAGCCGTCTCCACCCCAGCAGGCAACTACAAGTCACCAGGTAGCTTCACATAGAGAAGCACAACAAGGAAACAGGGCGGGGATGTGGCCAGCGGCTCGTCTGGATGAGGACCTGCCCTGGGACCAAGACCTGTGTGACCAGAGGGAGAACCCAGGAGAAGAGGCAGTGGGAGAGGAGTGTCCCAAAGTCAGGAAAAAGATGTGCAAAGGCCCAGAGGCAGGACCTCTGGACGTGCTGGTGGTTCTGAGAACACTGAGCTGCCAAAACTTAACACCAAGAGTAGTGGACCCAGAGCCGGCCATAGCAAACCAGAGTCAGTGACTGCCCCTGCCGGCCACCCCACCCTGGGCTCCGGAGTCCACGAAGCTCCTCTACAGCCTGTGACGAGCACCCAGCCGGGTGGGGGACTCTCCCGAGTCCTCACCTACCACAGCTTGAGCCCTGAGGCTTCGGTCAGAGAGGAGGGACACCACCTGGGGCAGGATGTGGGGCTCGCGGGGGAGGCCGGGCAGCAGGCCGGAGCAGGAACTCTGCCGTGAACAGACTCCTTCTGCACCTCTCCTGGGGACGTGTCCAGAGGCCCGCACTGTGCTGCTGGACTGCCCCGCCTTGACCTCTGTAGGAGGTGCTTGGCCTAAAGCTAAAGCTGTGGTGAGGACCAAGAGTGGCCACCAGGAGGCGGACGGGGTGAGGATGCTCTCGGCCTCTCTGTCCCAGATCCTGGCCTGCACGTGCCCGTCAGCCCCTCCAGCCTGGGCCGCGGCCGGGCTGGACTCTGGGCTCACAGAGCACCCCGCCACTCCAAGGCCAGAGGAAAGAGAGGCCACTGTGGAGTCCACCTCCACCCAGAGCTCATCTGGGGAGCCTCCAGGTCCTTCCCAGGGACAGTTAGTGCCCTTCTGCACTGTGGCCAGGTGTCGGAGCCCTGCTGACAGGCAGGAAACGCAGGAGGGCCAGCAACAGCTGGAAAGGGTCGGAGGGCAGGCTTGGGCACCTTGCAGAGCCCTGGGAGCCCCAGAGGGAAGGAGGGTCCCCAGGGCACAGCTGAGCTAGCGGGCACTCCTGTAGCTGGTCAGGGGAGGGTGTGCGGGAGAGCCTGTGGGCGGTGCCCTGGGGTCCTGGGTGTGGCCCTGGCTTCCGGAAAGTGGAGGGGGTGGTGCAGGCTGGAGGGCTGCAGCTGGGCTGGGGCTGGGCTGGGGCTGGGCTGCGTCTGACTGAGGGCCTGCGTCTCTGGTGTGCTGTGGGCGGCTGCCTGTGCGCTGTCCTGGTGGGGCCTGATCCCAGGTGGCTGTGCTCCGGCCTGCTGGAGTCCTGGCCTGGCCCCCCGTGGTCACCACGCCTGTCCTTCAGGGATCCCCCCGGCCAGCGGCACTGGGACTCTGCAGATCTACCTCATCGACATCAACGACAACGCGCCCGAGCTGCTGCCCAAGGAGGCGCAGATCTGCGAGAAGCCAGGCCTCAACGCCATCAACATCACCGCTGCCGACGCCGACGTGGACCCCAACGTCGGCCCCTACGTCTTCGAGCTGCCCTTCGTCCCCGCCACGGTGCGGAAGAACTGGACCATCACCCGCCTCAACGGTGAGCCCCGGGGCCAGCACCACGGGAGAACCAGAGCCTGGGGTACAGGCCCCAGGGACCACCTGCCCCCGAGAGCGAGCAGCGCAGGTGGGGGGTCCTCCTGGAGGACACTGCTGCCCTTGCCCTCCACGCAGCACCCGGGCAAGGCTGGGACGACCCTCGTCCACGGTGGGCGCTGCCTGCTCCACCCCTTGAGGCCCCAGCAGTGTCCATGCACCGGCCACTCCCTGTGCCCATGTCAGTTGGTCATTCCTGGCTGCCGAGTCTCCCTGGGACCCCTCCCCAGAAGTGGGCTGGTGCAGCCTGGGCCCAGGGCCTGCTCCCTGTCCCTCACCAACCCAGAATACTATTGCTTTTAAAAGCATTGTGTTTATTTCACCACCTCTCCTGGCTGCCAGGGGAAATCTTTTCAAATTCGCGTTGCTGTTGTTCTGTGCGTGGTCTGTTCAGTGACTTTGCCTGCTTCTCTCTGGGTAGGGTTTTTCCTGATTGATTTGATAAAACTCTTTACATATTCAGGAAATCGTCTTCATCCTCCACGCTTCGAGAGACTCTTCCTTGCATGCCAAAGCCTTTAACGTAATGGTGTGGCATAGTGTGTGTGTGTGCGCGTGTGTGTGTGCACGTGTGTGTGTGTGTGTGTGCACATGCACATGTCCTTGCTGACCGAATGGACATCTGAGGTTTCCACACCACAGCCTGGGTGTCCCCTCAGAAGGGCTGCTGGACAGGGGCCTGGCCATGTGCTGGACGTCTCCCATTGCTCTGTGCCAGGTGACTACGCCCAACTGAGCCTGCGCATCCTGTACCTGGAGGCCGGCATGTACGATGTCCCTATCACCGTCACCGACTCCGGGAACCCTCCCCTGTCCAACACCTCCATCATCAAGGTCAAGGTGTGCCCGTGTGACGAGAACGGTGACTGCACCACTGTGGGCGCCGTGGCGGCAGCCGGGCTGGGCACAGGCGCCATCGTGGCCATCCTCATCTGCATCGTCCTCCTGCTGAGTGAGTGCAGCCACCCACCAGGGGCCTCGAGGGCGGAGGCGAGTCCAGGGTGGCACCCCTCGCTCCGCCTCCTCCCACCTGAGCTGGGACTGGGGGGAACTGGGACCTCCTGCTCCTGTCAGGGCCGGTGCAGGTCAGGCCTGATCCAGCAGCTCACGGGTGTCAGTGGCTGGCTGCTCTCCAGCACCCACCCTGCCTCCCAGAGCCCCTGCACCCTGAGACTGGCTCCCCATTATGAGGAACACCCTCACCTACCCACACCCAGAGAATGGGTTCACACGAGGTACAGCTAAAAAAGCAGGACTCTAGTGACCATCTTGCAAGATCGGGTGCCTGGAGGTCAGGCACTCCAGAGCAGCTCCCCAGAGCGCAAGGCCCTGTCCCCGGGGGGTCAAGGCTGAGTACATGTGGCGCACAGTCTTCCTGCTCGCCTGGGTGCTCCGTCCCATGTGGGCTATTTACAGAGGTGCCCGTGGTCGCCCACGTCCCTCAGCCCCCTGTGGCTGACCCCCTCGCGGCCCCCGCTTCCTTACCTAAGTCACTGCTTCGTCACCGAGGGTCTCTCAGTTGGTCAGGCCGACCCGCCCCACCTCCTGCGTCAAGGGCTGCTCAGGGGATGGCTTTGGCTCTGCCACGTCCACGTCCCCTCCGGCCGCTTTCTTCCTTCCTGATTTACACTTTGGCCACTGCATCCTGAACCTGACCCTCCACCTTCTGTTTCTCCCACTGCTGCCCCGGTGCCCGTGGGCAGCGCCCATGAATGCTGGGAATTGTCAATGGTCCATCCAGAGTCTCAGGACTCTGATTGGATGGGCTCAGGTCACATGCCCACACTGGAACCAATCACCAACCAGGGAACAGAGTGGGTGCTGGCTGCACCCAGGTCACGTGGTCCAAGAGTCCTGCGTTTCCTGCTGTCCAGGTGGCCCCACACGGGACTGAGATTGTGAGGAAGGAGAGGGTATGTAGGAAGGCCCCAGGTGGCCCCTGCTCCCACCCTGGTCGACCACAGCCCAGGGACCGTGGTAGAGGCAGGGAGGACTGAGCAGGGGTCTTGCCCCCTGTCCATGTCCCATCCCGGTCAGAGGGTCTCCACATGCTGGAACGTCCAGGAACCAAGCATCAGGTCCCACCCTGGCCTCCTGCCCCCAGGCACCAAAGAGAGCCACATCCAAGGATGTCCCACCTCTGAGGCCTCCGCCATTTTTCCGATCTGTTGACCACCCTGGACTCCGGTTTTGTTGCAGGGCTTAGGTTGACTGCCCACAGAGGGACACAGCTGGGTGGGGGCACTTGTTCCTCTGAAGAGCTGGCCTAGGAGTGGCCCCACTGCCCAGAGCACCCACGTGGACAGTGGAGAGTGAGACGCAACTCACCCAGGAGCCCGGCCTCAGGGAGGCTGCCTGCTGCTTCTCCCAGCTGCTGCCTGGGCCAGCGTCTGCCAGCTCAGGACAGGGCACCTGGGGGCCTTTGCCTCCTCTTCCCACAGCCCCCCATCTGGCCCTCTGGGTGGACACGCCCGAGGCCCTGGCTGCAGGGGAGCTGCCTCTGAGCGGCCTGGTCCCCTGTCCCCTGCTCAGCAGGCGCGGCTCTGGTTCCAGGATCAGGATCAGCCACTCACACCGTGGGGTCCACCCTCGCTCTCTAGTTTCCTGTCACCACAATGTGGGCCTGTCGGGGACCCCTGGCCACCACTCCGCCCTCTGCCACCTCAGGAAACACTGTCCTTCCCTCTGAGCTGACACACACTTCAGAGCCCTACTGTCACAGGCTCAGCAGCCACACCAAGGAATCAGCTTGCCTTCCGCAGGTCCAGGGGTCCCTGCACCCGCCTCACTGTCCCCTGGACAGTGTGGCCTTTGCCCATCACTTCTGGGTCTCAGTCTCCCATCTGTGGAAAAGTCAGGTGACAGGAGCTGCAGGGGGCAGAGGAGTGACCGCGTGTGCCTGAGGGCGTGGACAGTGCAGCCTGCCAGAGCCCACACCCAGCAGACCCCGCCCGCCACAACGGGGACACAGATACGACGCAGGGGACAGGCACGGCAGGCTCTTCCCAAGGGTCTGGAGATGCACAGGAGTAGCGAGGGGCGCGGGGCCTGGCACAGACCCCAGAGGGCAGAGGGGAGGCCAATGTGGGTGGGGAGAGAGATGTCCACAGTGTGGGTTTGTGCCTGAACCACCGAGCAGCACCCCAATTCCTTTGGGTGGTGGGAGAGCCCCCAGCCTACTCCCCCAGTTACCCCTTGGTGCTGGGTGAGGCTGTGTCAGGGTGACTCCCTGGGGCCCCTGGAGATGGCAAGGGGGCAGCCCAAACTCCCCTCCCTGCCAGGTTGGCAGGTCCCCCTGCGGGCCCCGCCCTCCCCGTCCCCTTCCGATCAGGAGAAATCCCTCTCCCTCACTGATTTCTGCCCAGACCCCCAGTGCCCACAAACCCTCCCTTTCACCTCCTTTTCCAACTTCACACTTTTACTATGCAGAAGAGGGGTGGTCAGAGGACCTGTGCGTGGGCCCCTTAGCTCCTCCCCGTACCCCTGGGGGGCAAGGTGTGTGCGAGGCTGGGCCTCCTGTGGGCTGCAGGTGGAAGGGAAGGAAGTACAGCCAGCCCTCTGCATCCGCGCCTCCGCACCCATGGGCCCCACTAACTGCAGATCAAAAATGTTCAGGAAAATCCCAGTCAGGGTCAGGCTGAGCCCATGTGGCCGTTCTCTCCCACCATCATCCCCGAGGGGCACAGTGTAATGGCTACCCACCGGGCATTCACACGGTGCCAGGCTTCATGCCATCTGGAGCCGATTGGCAATGCCCAGAAGGGCTGAGTGGGCTCTGGGCAGACACTCCACCACTTCACAGAGGGATGAACATTGTGGTTTGGATGGTCACAGGGTGGGGTCCCCGGAGCTAGCGCTTGAACACACTCACGGGCACAAGAGGTCCCACCCGCATGTGCACACTGCACCTGGGAGACACACCCGAACACTAGCGTGCACCATGGCCTGCGCAACCCAACATGCCTCCACACAGGGGCACGTGCGTGTGCACTCGTGTAGACATGCATGGAACACGCACGTGCCCGATCACGCGGTGCTCACGAGCGGGGTGCGGCTGTGCACAGGAGGCGCACGCCGCGTGTGGTGTGCTCACGGCGCTGCGCTCCCACAGCCATGGTCCTGCTGTTTGTGGTGTGGATGAAGCGGCGGGAGAAGGAGCGACACACCAAGCAGCTGCTCATCGACCCCGAGGACGATGTGCGGGACAACATCCTCAAGTACGACGAGGAGGGCGGAGGCGAGGAGGACCAGGTCAGAGCGCCAGCGGCCGGCACCTCCACTGGTGCCTCAGGCAGCAGCAGGGGACTCTCAGCTCACCTCCCTGGTGCCTCCGCAGGCCTCTCTGGCCCTGGGCTGAGCTGTGCAGCCTGCACCTACCTGTGTCCTCCCCTGTCATCCTCCTCCCTCCCTCCAGCCGCCAACCCCAGCCCAGTGCTGCCCTGAGCCCTACAGAAGAGGGCACCAGGATCCCTGCTGGACACACCAATGCCCACCTGCTCAACAGTCCCAGAGAGGCAGCTGTGGGACCAGGGATGGTAGATGGCACAGAGAGGCCTGGTGGGAAGGGGGAGGGCCAGCACCTCCCTGCAGAGAGGACCAGGCAGAGCAGAGTGTGCTTGGTTGTTGAATAGCAGGGGAAACAGGGTCACTCTGGTGGAGCACCAGGCCAGAGAAGGCAGAGGGCACTGCCCCCACACTGCCCGGAGGACAGCCAGGACTTGGGAAATGGCGCAGGGGTGGCCACGGTAGGAGGAGGCCAGGGAGGTACTGGGGTTGGGAACAGGACAGCTGACGTACACTCAGCAGGTGGAAGAGCAAGACAAAGGTGCACTCAGGGACTCTCTGGTGCCCACCTGGTGGCCTCCTGAGTGCTCTTGGCCTCCATCCCTAGGACTATGACCTCAGCCAGCTGCAGCAGCCGGAAGCCCTGGAGCACGTGCTGAGCAAGGCCCCTGGAGTGCGGCGGGTGGACGAGCGGCCAGTGGGTGCTGAGCCCCAGTACCCAGCCAGGCCTGTGGTACCCCACCCAGGTGACATCGGGGACTTCATCAACGAGGTGGGTGCCCTCTCAGTGAGTCATCTGAGCACGGTGTGTCCTCTAAAAGTAAATCCCCATGAATGCGCACCAACAGATGCCTTTGGTGAGAAGGTGGGTTCAGGGCCAGGCATTGCCCACCAGAGGCCTGGCCTCAGCGTCCTTCTCAGAGAAGGACTAAGGTCCCACCCTGCCGGAGGGTGAAGGCTCTGTGCTTAGTGCACAGCAGGCACCAGCAGGAAGTTGGCTGTTGTGGTGGTGACAGCAGTGGCAGCCGTGAGCCACTCTGAGGCGGGACCGAGGCATGTCTCCCTCGTCTGCAGGAAAGGTCTTCCCGGCTTCCACAGGAGCCCCGAGGCCCTGGCACGTGGGACCTGCTGGGTCTTGGACTCTGCCCAGGCCCTGCCCTAGGGGCACCGTGGGGGAACTGCCTAGTCATGCACTAACTCTGATGTCACCTGAACTGCAGGCGGGGAGCCGGGATGTGCCTCGTTAGCCCGCTGGAGTCCACTTCTAGATTGAATTAGTTTCCTGTCTCCGTGGGTTTCTCCCCAAACAGGCTCAGAGACAGGACTTGAAGCCAAGTGGCTTACCTGGGGGCTGATCCCGGGAGCCCAGGGAGGGGGAGGAGCCAGTCAGCTGCCTCCCACAGAGACCTCCGCTGGCACAGAACACATCCGGCGGGCGGGGGAGCTGGGCGCAGGTGCACCCCAGAGTGGCTGCTCCGGGGCCTCCTGGCTGGCCGTGCAGCAGGCCTGGCCATGGAGGTGGTGGGCAAGCGCTGAAGGGGACGGCTGGTTCCAGGGACACTGCCACGCAGCCCCGTTTCACTCACTGCGCCCACTTCAATACCGCCAGCCTCGGACGGCTGCCCGGGTCCTCCCCCTGGAGGCCGTGAGCAGGCCTGGAGAGGAGCAGCCCCGGCAGGGCCCAGGGTAGTGACTGAGCACAGGGGCCACCGAGCCCACCTCAGTCTCTCTCGTGGGCACGGCTGGCCCCTGCGTTCGCCACCCAGCCGGCACCTGCACCCAGCAGGCTGCCCCAGATCCGCCCCCTTGGTGCTCTCAGGTAGACCCAGGTGCTCACCGAGCTCCTCCTGTGTGCAAGGCCCAGAACCTCCCAGGCCCTCGCTCTGACCTGCTCCCTAACTCCCAGTCTCCGGCCCCCAGGGACTTCGCGCCGCTGACCATGACCCCACCGCACCGCCCTACGACTCCCTGCTGGTCTTCGACTACGAGGGCAGCGGCTCCACCGCGGGCTCCGTCAGCTCCCTGGGCTCGTCCAGCTCGGGGGACCAAGACTACGACTACCTGAACGACTGGGGGCCCCGCTTCAAGAAGCTGGCCGACATGTACGGGGGCGGCGAGGAGGACTAGCTGCCCGCGTCCCGGGGCCAAGAGAGCAGGCGGGCCCGGAGAGGACTGAGCCCAGGCAGCCGCCGGCTCCCTGCAGGGACTGCAGCTCTGCTGTGGAGGTCCCGCCCCGCCCTCCCCAGGTGGAGCTGTCCAGCATGACCTGTCCCTGTCCTGGCCAGGCCTGCTGTCCTCTCAGTCGCCACCTACCACAAGGGAGAGCCAGAGGCACCGTCCTGACTTGAACCCCCAGAACAGAAGCGCCGTTTCAAAAACGAAAGTGCCTTTGGTACACGTGTCAGATCCCCCAGCTCAGGAGTGACTGACAGCAAGCAGACAGCCCAGCCCGCCCCGCCCGGCCCCCCCAGCCGGCGGAAGGCCCCCAGGAAGGCACGGACAGCGTCCTTCTTCTTTCTTTTTGGTTTTCTTTCTTTCTTTTTCTTTCTTTTTTTTGCTGTTGTTGTTGTTCGTTTGGGTTTGGGTTCTGTTGGGTTCTGTTGGGGCTCTGTGCGTGCGTGCGTCTCTTACTAAGAAACAGAAGGCGTGTGCGACTCTTGGAAAAGTAGCTTGGGCCCAGGTCCTCACAGCCTTCGTGTCCACGGCAGGGGCTTCCCAGCAGCAGCGGCACAGCGTCAGCCACCCCTGACCACAACACCCAGGCCGTGGGGACGTGGTTTCACCCAAGTTGGTGGCTGTCCCCACCACAGTCAGATGCTGTGAACAGCTGGGCAGCAGGTCCCCAGAGCCTGCCCCGGGTGCTCCCACCTCTGCCTCGGCCACCCCATTGTCCCGTCCCCCAAAGGCCTCTTTCTGAGCCAGCTGGCATCCCCAGTGCCACGGAGGTGCCCTTCACCTTTGGTCCAAGAAGCCACAGCGTCCTGCAAACCCGGCACGACCTGCAGCCACTCGGGAGTGGACTCCCAGGACCCCGTGGAAGGCCTGGTGAAAACGCTTCAGCCCAACCCTGAACTTCCTTGACACTGTCCAGCCCAGGCCTGAGCAGAGGGCCGAACCTCGCCCAGCCCAAGCCAGAGCCGCCTGCCTCTCAGCAGCCACAGGCTTGGTACCAGCACTGACTTTGGCAGACCCTGGCTGCTCCCTCCCGGGCCGTCGGACCCGAGCTCCTGTCTGACGTCTGTGAACTGCTGCAGGTGGCCAGCGAGAGGCCTGGTCTTCCTGAGCTGTCCATCCACAGATCCTCTAAGCTACCCGTGCCAGAGACTGAACCGTCTTTCCCTGTCCTAGGTCCCAGCTGCTCTGCCACGGTCCCTCCAGAGCTGCCGCCTGCTCTTTCCACGCGTGGCTTGACTCAGGCCTGGGGTTGGGGGGTGGCACTCAGTCCCGCAGGACACCGATCAGGCTGTGCCCAGGGACTCCCAGGAGAAGGCATCTGCCTTCTTCACTGGGCGAGACAGCAGGCCTGGGGCACCTCCAAGTCTGGGTTCAGGGGCACCTCGGGCCGAACAGGAGGCAGGCACTGGGAGGGGCGTCCTCTGCCTGGTCATTTCTGGCTGACCCCAGACAGTGACATTGTGAGGGTGAGGGAACCAGTGGCCTGGGGGACCTGGTATCGGAGCACCCTTGGGGGAGCAGGAGGTGCCAGGATTGAGGAAGGTCAGCGGTGCCCACACGCTGCTGGGGTCGGAGAGCCTCGGAAGGGCTGGGAGGTGGGGCGCCAGGGGCACCGTGCTCCCCACCCGAAGGGCTCTGATCCCTTGCTTCCCCTGGCCTCTGTCTTTCCCCTTGCTAAGTTGTCCTCTTTTCTAAATAGCTCTGGCCTCAAAGATGCACCTGAGTGGACTCTATATGTGCCAAACTTGTGGGTGTATCCCACTGGACGTCAGGGTTCTTCCCCAAACCAAACTTGTCCCCACCTCTGTTCTCCTCAGAGCTGAGCTGGGTCAGGCTCAGCTCTGTCTGTCCTGACCTCTCCTGTGACTGTGACCGCCTGGGGGGAGGAGGGGCGGGGGCTGCCCTGTCCTGCCTGGAGCCCCTCCCTGCAGATAGCCAGTCCAGGAGATGGGCCCCGGAAGGGAGGGTCCCCATCTCAAGCCGTGCTATGCAAATCGCTCTGGGCTGGCAGCCAATGAGGGGGCCCAGGTGTCTGGGGGCGTGGCCATGGCTGGAGGCCTGGTGGGGCTGGGGGTGGGAGCTGGAATGTTCTGCTTAGTGTGTTGGATAGTTGGTCCTTGGATGGCAATTCTGAGCCGGAGAAGGACGAGTGGCCCGTTTGCAGTGTGCATGCGATGGGCAGCAGGGGACTGAATCCCCAAGCGAACGTGGTCCTCTGGCCAGGAGAGTGGAATCCCGCGGCCTGCTGGGCGCATCTCCTGGCCCCACTTGTCGCTCCCTCCTCTCCTCACCACCAGGCCCCCTGCACGGGCAGGCTGAGGCCGCACACCAGCTGGGGTGTGTCCGTGGGGGCTCCCTGTGACAGCTGACAGCTTTCCCTTCCACCCCACACCCGGTCAGCCCCTGGGGCCAGAGAAGAAGGGGTTCCCACACCAGATCCACTCGGAGCTCTGCCCTGAGGCCCTGAGTTAGCGTTAGCCAGTGTACAATCCGTGTCACCGTCTCTCTTCTGTAGCTTGTAGATGTGACCTGTCTGGTCGGCCCAGGCGCAGGGCCCGGGCTGGCTGGCAGGGTGCGGGGCATGCTTTAGTTTCTTTAGGGCATTTTCCTTCTAGAGCAGAATAAAGCTGTGCTGCAAAGTGGTGTCAAGAACACCCTGGCCTTGGTCAGCCTGGGCACCCCATCTCCTGGCCAGCAGGTTTTTTCTTTCTTGTCTTTCAGCACATCCAAAATGCTAGGCCTCCCGCCACCAAAGGGTCAGAGTAACGTCTGACTGTCAGGCCCTCAGAGGTGCCTCGGCTTCCCTCGCGAGAGTACACGGTCCATTGAGGTGACCACTTGTCCTCTCCAAAGTCAAACGCCAGGGGGAAGGGAATCTCCATTTCCATCAAGCTAAAAAGGAGTAACACCAAAAATCGGAACGGAATCTCCCGTGCACAGGGGCCTCCCGCGGCGGCTCCAGGCTGGCTGGCGGCTGCCTGCAGCAGGCCAGGCCCCCATGTGCACTCGGACGCCTTTGCTTTTCCTTTCTCTCCTTTTCCATTCTGGTTTATTTTGCATGTTTCTTTCTGAGAATGGACCGACTGCATAGCAGCCCGCATGACCGTGGTTGTCTTGGAAAGGTACCGGAGTATGACGTCTTCTCTCTGCAATCTGAGCATCGCGCCGTCAGACAAGTGTTCCGGCTTTTTTTGTAATCGTCAACAGCACAACTATTTTGTATCGTTGTTTGTATCATTTTGTACCGAAAAAAAAAAAGAAAAAGAAAAAAAAGGGAAGGAAGTGGATGTTTCGCTGTGTCCTTGGTGCCAGGTGGCCTCGGCTCAGAGGAGCAGCAGCTCTGCGGGGGCGTGGGGCGCAGCCAGGCCCCCGCTGCTCCGAGGAGTGAATAAAGCCCCTTTGAAGAGTCGCCTCAACCTGCTTTTCTTCGGGCGGCCGGGGTGGTTCTCGGGGTCCTTCCAGCAGCAAGCACATTCCGGGAATTAGACGCAAACACAACCGGCCCAAGCCGTGCAGATCCGGAAAGTGTCTAGAAGCCACCACTGAACAAAATGTGTCCCCCTCTTATCTCAGCAGATACCCTCCGTGGCACTGGGGGACGCTGGTTCAAGTGTGGGATTCTCAGACGCCTTGGAGCCAACATGTGGCTGCAAGGAGTGATTGGGCCCCGGCCACTGCCCTTCCCGCCCCTCCACCGCCCCGTCCAACACTGCAGGGGACCTCGATCCCACAGCCTGTGCGTCCCAGCCTCGCCTAAAAAGCAGTACCCGGGTCTTCATGGGTCCACCTGGTACAAATTCTCCTGCGATAGGGCAAGGTGGTGCCACCTGTCATCTAGCTATTAGGGAGGCCACAGCAGGAGGATTGAAAGTTCAGGGCCAGCCTGAGAAACTTAGCCAGGCCCTGTTTCAAAGTAAAAATAGAACAGGCTGGGGAAAGGGCTCAGTGGGACAGCACCCCTGGGTTCAACGCCCAGGAGGGAAGGGCGGAAAGGAGAAACGACACGCAGCGGCAGAAGAGGCCTATGGGGCGGGGAGGCGGGAGGCAGCTCGAGGAGCGCTGGCCCCGGTGCCCAGTGGTCTGAGGGCCGCACAGGCCGTGGCACTCTGCATTCCTCCCCCACCCCGGGTAGGGACAAGGCCAAGCCAGGGCCAAAGTACAGGTGCACACACGCACACGCAGGCCATTAGACGATGGTCATTTCAGTGGCCACTGTGTGACACAGGTCTGAGCAGCCCCACCACCCCACCTTCTGGGACCCAGATAGGTGAAGTGACTTGGCTTTCCGCTGGTCTGTGGTCCAGTATCACCCAGGCCTCTCCCAGAGCTGGGGCAGCCGGGGCTGCTGGGGCTGTCACCATCAGTCCCTAGAGTGCTCATAAGATGACTGTCCAGGTCTCTTCCTATCCAAAGCAGAGCCGTAGCCCCAGAGCTGTCCCAGCATGATGCTCTGGGGACATTCTGGCCTCCCCAGTGTCCAGAAAACCCCTTCCAGACAGAGGGGGACAGGAGCAAGCCCCCCGGCTCTCACACAGGTCCCACAGAACCAGCCAGAGACCCCTGAGGCTGAGAGGGGGGTCACATTCTAGGGGCAGGGTTTGAACAAGGTGCTGAGGATCCAACCCAGGGCCTCACAAGTGCTAGGCAAGTGCCCACCACTGAGCCCAGCCCAGCCCGACACTTGGTGGTTCCTCAGGGACATGGCCAGCAGGAAGACCCGGACAGTGGGCCTCTCTGCGGGCTGCCCAGAGTCAGGCCTCCAAACTTTGGCGGAATCTAGAGGCCCAGTCTCAGCTCCACGTGCCTCGGGGCCCTGCGGCCCTCCACCAGGAGAGGACAGTGCTCACTGTCCTGGAGAACACAGCAGCCCTCACCCACACCAACCTGCTGGTGCGTGGATTTGGACTTTGTAGCCTCCGGAACTGTGAGACAGGGTACTGCTCTTTATAAGTCACCCAGGGTCAGGTGTTCGTTATAAGAACACGACTAACTACACCAGCCCAGGATCCAGCCCACCACCTGCCCTGACCAGCCCAGGAGCCAGCCTGCTGTCTCTACCTCAGTCCTTTGTGTCCATAACAGTTCAGCAAGCAAAGCGATAAGCATGGACCATGGCCCAAATAGCCAGAACCTGGTGGCTAGTGGGCAGCTTCGTCCTTGGCCTCACACAGTGGAGTGGTCCTCTCAGGACCCCAGGGAGTGTGAAGCCCCTGACCAATCTCAGAGCGGGCCTGCTCCTCGTGAGCCTCCTCCACTTCCGTGGGGCTCAGCCTGCCCAGCCTCCCGGGGGTCCCTCTACCCAAGGTGTCCCCTTGCCTGCCTGGTCCCTGCCACCCTCAGTGCCGTGTGGGCAGCTCCGCACACCCAGGTGGCCTGGTGCTCGTTGGAGGCCCCGTTCACAGAAACATTCATCTTGAGCTGTCGCCTCCTTGTGAAGGAGTCTTGGGGGTGTCCCCTCCCTGGACAAGCCAGGTGCTCTCCTCCTGGGGCCCTGGAGACTGGGGGCCCTTCTTGGCCTCCTGGACAGTTCTGGTGGCCCTGCAGCCCAGCTGCCCACAGCAGCCAGGTAAAGGGGCAGTAGGTCGGGACAGCACCTACCAGGACCACGTGGATGTGAGCCTGGCTGGCCCCTGGGTCTCTTCCACATGCATCAAACCTCAGCCTCCTCCTGACACCTGACCCTAGAGGCCCTTGGTGGTCAGGATCTTCCTGCAGGTTGGATGCCCTGCAGGGGACAATCCTCCACCCCCAACTCCTGCCTGACTGTGGGAGATGGGAACCACCAGGCCCTTTGTAAGACCAGCTCAGTGGTGTCTGTGCACTGGGAAGCCAGTCCCTGGGAGGCCAGGGCCAGGCCCCTCGCCCACTGCAGACGATTGTCCAATACCCCCAGGCTGTCTACCCACTCCAGACACCCTGAAGTCCCAGCACCCCCAGCCTCAGGTCCCTTCACAAGCTCATCTGGACCTTGCCTAGCACGTGGCTCCGGGGGCCTGCTGGGGAGTGCTGCCCAGGACAGGGCCCCTCAGTCCTCCCAGCTGGGAGGGAGTCCCGGGCTTGGAGCAGACTCTCCTCCCCACCACCAGGGACAGAGCTGAGTGCCACTGGTGGGAGAGCCAGGCACAAGCTACCTGAGAAGCTCCTGGCAGGCACAGGCCACCCCTCGGCCTGGGTGCTGCTCACACAGCGACGACTGGGGACCCACTCCCAGAGCCAAGGCAGGGCTGGTGTTCACGGGCTCCAGGCCTCCCCCCTCACTCCCGGCCAGCACGCCCTCTGAGTCTCAGTGCCCTGGCCCTGCAGCCAGTGGAGGCCCAGCCCCAGGCCTGCCCCTGACAGCAGGTTCCACGGCAGCAGGCTGTGGGTCCCCCAAGCTCTCCAACTGCCCCGTCATGTGGCCCAGCTGCCCTGTCTGCTGGCCTGAGCCCACTCTGGAGGGCCTAGAACAGCTCACATCTTCGCAGCCACACCTGTCCAGGCCACCTGGACTGCAGAGGTTCTGCCTTTCCTGGGAAGACAGCTAAAAGAGGCAGAGCTACCCCGCAGGCCACTGAGCCTGAGCCTCAGACTGCACCCTACGCTGCAGCTGCAACCTTGCTTGCAACATGGGTCAGTCCAGGTCCCACAGGGCAAGGTCTGGACACCAGGTGGGCAAAGCCTCCCCACCTAGCCCCTCCTCATCTCTGGGCAGAGTGGGTTCATCTGCCTCCACCCACCCTTCCCTGGCCTTTTCTAAGGCACAAATTTGCATCCACAGTGACTTGCATGACAAAAGGTCACTAGAGTTTACTGCGGGGCAGCTAACAATTGCAGGCGCAACAGCCACTTGCTGATTTTGAGGGTGCTGAGCAGCTAGTTCCATTCACAGTTAGGCAACTGCTGTGGCCAGGCAGGCAGTCCTGGGGGAGCCCACTCTTGTGACCCACCTCCCAGTGACAGGCGGCCTGGTAAGACCCACTCCCAGCTCCAAGGCTGAGGGCTGGCGGGCCTAGAGGCAGGGGCCTGGTGGACATGATCTGAAAAGGGGCGCTCTGGAGCCCAAAGGCCTTCTCTTGGGTCCCTCCTGGACAGAGGTTGCCGTCCTTCCTCTTCTGAGGGGAAACAGAGTCATAGGCAGAGCCCACAGCCCATGGTGTAGACAGCTCAGCCAGGTGTAGACAGACTCACCTGCCAGGTAGGTAGGAGGACCCTGCGCCCACTGCCACGCACACTGCATGTACACCCAGGCCTCTCAGACCTCCTCAGACCCGCGCCTGTGGGGCGCTGTCCAAGGTGCTGAACCCTCACTGCTGAGCCAGGTGGGGGAGCACTGAGGGCAGGTGTCCAGCAGACCTCTAAGCACCTGCCCCCAGGTGGGCCTTCTCAGGGTCCACTGTGAACACAACCTCCACTCGTTTTGAACACCTCAAACCCAAAGCTAAAGATCCGATGCCTGTGGCACAGAGGAGAAGTGGCTGACCACTCCTGGACTTGGCCCTGAGTCCTCCCTTGTCCTGTGACACCACTGGAGCATCAGGGAATCCACCGACATGACATTTTAGTCTGGGCCATACAGTGGTGTCTCCAGGCATGGCCACAGTGCCCAGCACCCCACGAACTGCTGGCCTTCACTTGTCCATTCGCTAATGGTCAGACACACCCAGGCTGCCCAGCGGGCAAGCTGGGACCATGGCTGGGTAGGCACCCTGATCTCAGTCATGCTTGGATCTCCTGTGGTTGGGAACAATGTCCCTCTTTTCTTTTTCATGATGCTGTTTCTGAAAAGCCCAGAGGACCAGTTGTGTGAGTTCTGTTGCTGCCAGAAGTGGTCAGCAGAGCAGGCCACAGACACCACGGGCCCACCGGTCTGGGGTGAGGCAGCTGGTGCTCCTGGCTGGGTCCCCAGGGGCTGCAGCTAGGACTCAACTGGGAAGGACCTGCTCTGTGCTCATGCAGGGCCTCACCCCTTGGGAGGTGGCCATGGCTCCCCACATGAGCCTGGCCAGAGCCTCCAGGACAGAGGCCATGGCCTCTCATGCCAGGTCTCAGAAGAGGCAGCCTGTTGCTCCTGCTGAGCCTCCTTATCCAGCCCTCACTGGAGGGCCTACACGGCTGGACACAGGGACCCTCCAAGGCTGTTCACAGAGGCCTGCAGAGGGTCCCTCCCTCCTGGTCCAGCCGCGGGTGTCCCCAGAACACGTTCAGGTTAAGTCTCCTGAGGAAGAGCAGGACAGGGGCTGTCAGCCACCCGCATCCCAGAGCAAAAGCAGACCTCGGCCTCCTCCTGGGTCATCCGAGGCAGGACTTGCTTAGAGGCCGCAGTGGAGGCTGCTTGTCTGGAGCTCAGGGTCAGAAGGTCCAGGGAGAGGGGGCCTTCTCCTTCTGGTCCTCCTGCACCAGCTCTGGTAAAGAGGCCCCACGGGGTCCACA